CGTAGTCTTACTGAACCAGAAAATTAACTAGCAATCAGTGAGTGAGAGCAAGGGCTTCTGCATATAGCTGAAAGTAGCTATGATGTTTTTCTTTAGTCCAGAAAATTAATTTAATTTATATAGTCTTCCAAAGAAAGTGGGTCAGGCACTTGGAGCAAACCCCATGGATTCTGGCCTTGTTTATCTGTGTAAGTGAAATAGCCTAGGAAAAGGAATGACCTTTGCAGATGGCTACTTTTTTTTTTTTTCCAATGCATTCCCTGGAGAACTGCATGTCAGCCCTATTCAGTTGCAAACTGTACCAGAGTTAATTAAATGGAGGGCTTTTTTTTCTTCCATGATGTCATGTCTTTCATAAGTGGCTGATTTTGACTTGTGCTATGATCTGTATTGAATGTAGTTTGTGCAGGTCAGCTTGGAGTCTTAGGTGTGAAACAGCCTTGTCTCCTAGTTTTAATGAGCTAAAACTGAGATTCCTGGATCTGCTTGCAGGCTGACAAGAGAGATTGACTTAAAAGAATGAGTTAGCTTTCCTATTGGACTTCATTTACCTCTTACTAGTACGTCTAGGAAGAAGAATGTATTGTACTGGAGATGAAGAAATATGGACAGGCTCCTGCTTGTATTAGAAACTTTGAAGTGTAGACTAAATCTCCAAGGATTTAATGGGTACTTAAAAGACATGGCAGAAATGAAACAAATAAAAAGGAAATGTTCCTTTACCCAACTCATAACTAAAATATGAAACTCTGTCACAGGACTTAGAGGTCAAAACTATAAATATGTAAGAAAAAAAAAAAGGGTCAGATGGGTCATAGTTAATGCTATTTAAAAAAAACCCTGCTTATTAAGATAGCAAAAATACATATTCTTATTTTCCAGAAGAGTGAAAGTAAATAAGGACAAAAACTCTGCTCAGTTAACTGTATGCTCCCTTCCCAAATTTTAGTCCTAATTAGATGTGAAGTCCTTTATTTATTATTTTGTGCTGTTTTCTCCTGTAGTCCTCATTTTAAATGATGATCTGTTCCATCTTAAAGCAGATACACTTCACTGACAAGAAACACATTGCCCCAACTTATCATATAAAACTCCAGGGAGAGTTACTGAGTATGTGCTTGCTGGACACTGTAAACTGTCTGAGTTTTCTGGTCTCCCAAGATGGAAAACATCCTAGATGCTTTGCTGGCATATGCAAAATTTGGATTCAACATGTGCTCTCTTATGCCTGAATGGCTACAGAAATTTCAGGGCAACAGAAAACCAGTCCTAGGAGGTGGCTAATAGCATTCCTCTGCTTTTACACTGGGTTATCCACCAGCAACAGCTGCTTCTCCATGCATCTGCGACATCAGGGTGGGTCAGCTAAGAGAGACCTGTGTCAGTCATGCATATGGTGAGATCTGTAATGAAAGGCAAAGAATTACTGTCCTGAATTTTCACGGCTAAGTGTGTAGAAGTGCTGACAACCATTCTTGAAGTTCCTTCCTCTGCCAAGAAAAGCCAAGGGCCATCTCTCCATCCCACAGGCCTTTACTACTTGAAAACAAAAGACCACATTGCAAGGGTTTTTTAACAGAGTGATGATGTAGAAACCCTCAGGTATTCCTCACCTAGCAAGCAAATATGGTTGCTGACCGATTATCATTTTCTTCTTCCAAAGACAGGAATAGGAGATACGGTTGCAGCAGCAATCACAGAAATGGCTTGGGGTTATCAAAACAATTGCAGCACACATGAACAAACACTTCAGCCTTGCCAAGCTAAACTAGCCTAAGCATTTTGCTTGGCCAGGCATGCTCCCAGCTGATTGCGTTCACCAGGTCCATGTGTGTCATCTGGCGAGGCAGAGGGAAGGCAAGAGGTGCAGCCCAGAACAAAACGTGGCGGACGCGAGTCTTCTGTGCCAGTGTGGGCTGTATCCTCACCGAGTTCCCTGTAATGGCATTTTCTTTCTTGTACTTGAGTAATTGTTTCTGTTTGTGCAAAATGAGCAGGTGTAAGACACTGCCTTTCAGCTCTGGGACCTTGTTGTCGCCACTTGGCGCTTGCTTTGCTCGCTTGTGTGAGAGGGCACGAAGATCCCATTTGCTTCACTGCCTCCGGTACCCCAAAATGAGGGTCTCGTGCATATACAGCTGTAACTATAAGAATCCAAAAGGGAGAAGGGAAAGATTTGTACTTTTTGTAGACCAGAAGCCTTTCCAGACCTGGGCAGTGAGACAGAAATTTTTCTTTTTTTTTTTTTTTTTTTTTTTCTTTCCAGCCCGGGGGAGGGAGAAAAAAATTTTTTTTTTTTTTTTTTTTTTTTTTTTGGTAAGGTTTGAACTTTGAAAGACAACTGAACTCTCCCCATCTCTGGACTTGTCCAAACTAACCAATCTGTGTTGCCAGCTTATGGGGTGTTCAGTTGCTCTCTTAGATGTGTGTAGCACTTAAAAATGGAAGGAATCTTTCCCCCTCCTCCCCCTCTTGGACTGTGATAGAAAAAACTTGATCTGTTTATAGAAATCAGTTAGCATGTGCCTATGTTATGAGAAGGAATGCAAATGTATGAAAAACACAGCCATCTCTTCATTTCCAAGTCTGTAATCTCAAGAGTTTCTAGTGATACTGGCTGAGAAGTTGTACTTGAATGCTTAGCTGGACCAAATATGTTGGACAGATTATCCTGATGTTTCATGCCAATGCAAATGAGAGAAACTCCACTGGAACCCACAATGTTCCATCAGAATAATGTTAGAGGGAGGGAATAAGGCCACTTCCAATAGGTATATTTTGGATCAGATACCTGAAATTTCTCAGCGTTCAATGGGTTTGGATTAAGGGGTTTGGTTCAAAAGGAGGTCTGTTGATAAGTGTCACCCCTCACAGTGACCAAAACATATCTGAAAACATGGCTAGAAAAGCCTTCTGTGTATTTTGGTGCGTTGTACACGCATGTGTCATTATTTATTGTGTCAAGAGACATATAGGAGTTTATGCTGTCTCCATCCTCTTAAACCAAGGAGCAGCACTTGAGTAAACTATACTGATACCCACACTTTCCTTTCCACAGAGCAATACTCTGATGCAGATAACTTTTAATCTGCTTTTCATCATTTGCTTTCCATTGGGGAAAGAGCTGGTATCCCCCAGCGCTGCATGCACAAGCTAGGAATCACAGGGTAGACAGAGATGGATGCTGCATCGGACACTCGCCAGCTCTGCTACTCAGCCTGAGCTCCTCTGGGGCATCGCCCCTCCTTTCGCCCCAATGTCGTCGGTGGCTTTGCAGCCATGGGCTGAGCCACGGTTCTGCTGCGTCGGAACGAGCCATGTTGGGAGCGGGACAGCAGGTGCACCTACCATGCTCCTCAAATGTCATTTCATGCTTCCACGTGTGCTTTGTGCTCTGTGCATATAAACAAAGATTCAGAGTTGATTCCTAAAGCATGAAGATTTTTTAGCAGGGGTTCCCGGAGGGCACTGTAGGCCACGAAGAAAAAGCCCGGCTGCCCAGGAACAGGTAGGGGCAGAGCTGTACAACCATCACTGCCCTGGGCTGAGATACAAACAAGGGACTCATCCAGCCCTGATCTCCTCCCTAGCCAGAGGCACATGCTCTTCATTAATGGCCACATTGCATGACTTGGGGTTTGCAGAGGAAAATAAAAACAGTGAGCTCATCAGAGAAGGAAAAACATGAGTGAGAGGAATTGCTGTAAATATTTATATCTTCAGGGCCTTTAATGTGATTGTCATTTTCCCTTTCTACATTTAAACAGCCTAGCTCTTATTGTTTGGGACTGTGCTATTCCTACACATCTGTACCCCATGCTCAGGCAACCTCTACACCTAATACCCAGTCCTGAGAGGAGCTGAGGATGCTCAGTGCTATCTCCACAGGCGCTCAGCACCCTGACAGCATCTGTATCGTGGCCTGGTGTGTAAAGAAAGAGCTGCCTCATCCAGATGGGCTTAGAACTACTGGAGAAAATCCATCCCTGGCTGGCAATTGCATTGACACAACTGGCTGCATTCAATCTGTTGACTGCAAAGGCTGTGCATTGGGGTGCGTCTTGTGTAAGGGAGAGATATTTGACCTGCCTGTATGCAACTGCTTTCCCTTTGGAAGGCTCTCTGTTGCTCTTGGAGTGGAGGGCTGTGGTAATAGCCAACTGCCTGCCGAGCCCTAGATGCAAACTTTTTGCATGAAATAATAGCCTCACGCCCACATAAACTTAAATTGTTTCTATGGAGAATATCCTGGACCAGTCTAAAACCTCACCCTGCTTGCTTTATTAGAAACCCTGGGAGAGCCTTAAATGTATACTTTTTTTTTATAATTTTTTTAAAGCTTACGAGTGAACTATATTAGCCTGATAATGTGAAAAGCATTTTTCATGAGAGCATGAGGTGGCACAGCCTTCTGGAATGGAGTATGGGCCTGGGAGACAGAGGCTGGGGGCTTATTACTGCTTTACAATGTCTCCAGGGCATTTTACTTCACCTTGGTTTCACTTTCGAGTCTTTGTTCAGACAATAAGTTATTTGAGGCAGGATCTGTACATGTGTGCAGTGGCCGGTAGAAGGAGATACTGATTTTAGCAGGGTTGTTAGGTGAAAGAGTGATTGCTGTGTGTTGCTTAGAGCCAGCACTGACTATGGCTCCTACTGGAATTAGGAGGCTGGAGAATCAAAGATACATGACTTTGAATTTGCTGTTACCTCACACAGGGCAGGGGTCACCTAATGAGTAACGTGAGTCCGGAGCTGCAATTAGGAAATGTCTATATGGCAGGGCTTTGGGATGCCTCCTCTTTCCCCTCTTACTCTCAGTGACTGTGACACCAGTAGCGCATGTAGCCACCCCGTACTCGCGCGATACTGTAATTAAGTTCAGAGATGTTTGCAGTGGCATATCCTGTTTTCTCATTTGGGTTTTTTTTAGTGACATTTGTATTGTGCTAAAGAACAAAGTATGGATTTACTATTCTGTTTCTCTTTAATCCTTCTAGATCATCAAAGAGCCCCCACCACCACCTGCAGAAGACAGTGAGGTGAGTAACGCTGACAACCTAATTTCCTCAATGTTTAGGACAAGAATTTGTTCAGTCTGCTCACAGGAGGTTGTGATTCTGCTGCATGGCAGAGTATGGACCATTTAAACCTTTGTGCTCAGCTTTGTAGCCTTAAAGTCAATAGTGGTTTAGCTAAACGAGGGGCTTTTTAGCTGATGTCTGCCATGTGTGTTTCACTCTGCTCAATTCGCTTTCTACAGAGGTAGAGATGTGGTTTTTATTTATTTAGAGAGTGGCTGTAGATCTGTGTAGAGCAGGTAGGGAAGGAGGACAGAGGCAGACAATACTTCGCCTTGGTCGGAACAGCACTAGAGTTACGCTGTGATTCACAAAAAGGACAACTCTTAAGCATATGTTTAACTTTGAAGTTAATGGAACCTAAACACATGCTTAACTGCCTTCCTGGAATGGCACAGTAATGATTTTAATGGTTTAGCGTATATAACTGCTGTTGGCAGCTGAGCAGTAACTCACAATGTTGATCCCTTGGACTACAGTTGCTGTGAGCAAAGGCAGCCCGCAGTCTGTGCAATGTGTCTGAAGACAGCGGACCAGATTCTGAGCAGATGTAAAACCCCAGTAAATCATCTTGACATTCAAAGAGCTGCAGTAGCCAGGGAAGTTTTAATGGGGAGAAACGAAAAAGCAACATTAAAACCTTCGTCTTAATTCTGCTTAGTCTTTTTAGACGAATCTAGCAACAAATGGTTTGAAGCTACGTCACCATTGCTTAATTAGTAGACTCTGCCCAGAAACATGCCCAGTTTTTCATCTGCCTCTTTCTATGTCCTGCTTTCAGCACGCAATGAGTCTCTTCTTTGCTTTCACTGTTTTGCACATGGGATTTCATTGAAAAGTCACTGGGCTGTGTTCAGGGCGCATTGATGTCAATGGGAGTTTTTCCATTGACTTCACTGGGGTTTGGATCAGTTCCTCTTAACTATGCAAGTAAGAGAAGACTTAGATCTATGCTCAGAGTGATTTGGTTGGTTAGTTCGCCTTGGTTTTTGTGTCTGGAGACAAATTCATTGCCTGCTTCAGCTTGCAAGTGGAAAAGCTTGCTGAAACGATCCTCTCTGTGCTCTCCGCAAAGTCTGGCCCAGTGAGTGTGCTCTGTGCCAAGGCAGACAGACACCCTTAAAGCTCAGTCTGCTGCAGCACTACGGAGGTGGAATCCAACCTAGCTTCTGCCTGCACTGAGCACAGAGAAATAGTTCAGGGCAGCTGGAGCCAAGGCCAGTACTAGAACATCCATCCTGGTGGCACTTCAAAACAGGCCTGAAGCAAAACTCCAAATCTGAACGTTCCTGGACCCAAGGGAGATTTGCATTTGGGTCCAGTGCTCCCGATGCCTCTATATGCGGGCATCTGGCCTAGTTTCCTAAGTAGATGTTTCTGTTTGGGCTGTATGTAAATCCACTGGCTTTGTTAGCTTCTATCTGCTGAATGAAAAGGAAACTATTAACCTAAAACTGCACATGCTCTGTTCTGCATCACACATGCCTCCAAGCCAAGGGATTCAATTGCTGAAATTAATTAAAATACATCATTCTGGAATGCTAGCTCACAGGCCAAGGACTGGAAGGAGAAATTACATCTCTGTGCTGAGAGGAAAGGTGTGCTTCACATATAAGGAAGCCTTTTATCAAACCAGTAAGTGCTGCAAAAGCAGACCAAGCTGCAAAATAAACTAGTTGCAGCAGACCAGTTATGTTTGCCTCAGGTTAAGTTTAGTTAAGCTGGTGTAAAGATATTTCTGGACATGTTGTATTTTCTCTCGGCCCTGATTCTGATAGAGAGGAACAGTCTGTGCAGCTCTTTGGATGAAATAGTCTTCAATTCATCTGTCTATTTCACAGCTTTCCTTTAGCAATGTGTTTGCCACTGGCTTTTTATTTTAAACTAACCTGGTCTTGTACTGTGGAGACCGTGGGCCAAATCCTCTTTGTGCAGAAGCAGAATGTTGTTCTGCTTGCTCCCTGTAGACGACAGCTTTAAATGCAGACTTGTCCGGGCTTTGGTTGTACCCCGAGCAGGGCACTGCACAGTGCCTGAAAAATTGCATTAACTCATACCTGTAGTTTACCTGCTTCCTCGTTAATACAAGAAGAGATTTGTACAGTCTTTTGGCTATTATTCTTACTGGTTTGGGACCCTGGGATGCGGGGCTTTGGTTACAACAATGTGCCAGCACTGTAGGGACTAGTCTAATGGTATAATTTCACATGTACTTCCCACCAGAACACATCCCCTAAGCTCAATACTCAGTTATCCTATAGCCATCTTATACAATTAGCAGCCAGAGGTTTCTTAAAAAGGAAAATGTAGTTTATACTATTTTAGAAACCGTATAGCATCAGAGCAGTGCTCAAAAGTTAGTAAGGCTTGAAGCTGTGACTTGTACTATGTGTTTTGTCCCACACAGAAGAGCTTCCCACTAGTGGAAAAATAGCAGAAGCTCTGAAAAGATGCATTTCACTGGTCCCATTTACTCTTATAGAGCCTGGTCCACAGAATGGGACTGGCAGTAAGTAGTATGATGCTTTCACAGAATGTTGGATACTCCAGATTTTCTACTTTGCTCAAAACAAATAGAAGACGGGGTTGATTTTCTGCAATCCAGTTCTTCTTACGTGTTGCAGATGGCTTTCTTCCTTGCAGAAAACCTAGCAACTGCTCGTCTCCAGCATGAAAGAGTGCTAATCCCTTAAGCAGCAGCGTTACAGTTACAGTAAGATTTTTTTTCTTCTCCCAAAAATCTTGGCAAAAAAAAAGATGAGGAATTCTTGCATCAGCAGATTTGGGAGCTGAGGCCCATATGTCTTTGCACTGCAAGGAGAATGCATTATACTGTAACAATGAAGGGAAAGTAGCATTGCTGTCAAACCCGCCAAAGGTTTTATTGAACTCTACTTTAAAGGCCTTTTGAGACATATTGGAGGCATGCTCACTGTTGGTGAAGGAAATCACTATTGGCTAGAAACTTCCAATTAATTCATTCAGAAATTGCAAATGTCGTCAACTTACTGCTGTGCTCCTCAGACAACGCAGGATACTGGAGGAGGTTAAGCCCAGATGAAGGACAGATGGTTTTACTTAACAGCCAGGGAAGACTGAGTTAATGCCAATCGGAAGAGGTGAAGCCCTCGAGGAGCCAGTGAGCACCTTTCTGGCCTGTGATTAGTCATTGATGGTGGATCAAAACCACATTCTTCTACCTCCACTGGATAGGAAGGCTTTTTCTAGCCCTGTTGGAGGAAGGCACAGCTGGTTTTATTCATGTGTCCCATCACCTTCAGACTGGGCTTATTGGAACAACCCTTACTCAACTCAGACCAGAAGCTTACCATGAGGCTGAAGCTGGCTCTCACTATAGCAACCCATCTTCTACATCAAAAAAACCCAACCTGCAGGGCTCTGCAGCTTCCAACAATTTCCAGTTCACTACGTGACCCATGCCAGAGGTCTGCTGCTGGTCAGTCCCACAGAAGGACAGACTCTGACTGCAGTCAGGGGCTGCATAAACTGGAGCCCTCTAAAGTGTCCCCAAGACGCACACTCTCTTCTCATTGTTTTCTGGCCCTGTAAACAGAGACTGGGCAATGTTAAAATACACAGCTGTATCTTCATTTTCTGTCACGGCAGCGCTTTCTCCTGCAGAAGGCATTCAGGGACACAAACTTCCCTGAAGTCTGGCAAAACCAGGCAGGAGATCTACCAGATGACCAGAGCGTGCCCTTTCCTCATCACTCAGACCCGTTTTTTCCATGCTGCTCTATCACCCAAGCTCCACAGTCGCCCCTAGCATGGCGCCAGAGCCAAGCCACCAACCAGCCTGTAATTGGATAATTCTGATGTCTGTTGTCATCCTACCCACATACACCAAAGCAAACTCACACAAGAAAGTCCTAGAGAGAAAGGACCATTCAGCAGCACAGGCATGAGATGCTGTAGGGTAATTATCACTGTCGTGGGAGGCCAGCATGAAAAGGAGGAATTTAACTCGCTGCATGGCAGCTATTGTTAAGCCAACAGATCTAACCACCTATTTAGCTTGACCCAGTTTGATCTTTGTGAACTAATCCCTTTCTCCCACAGCTGAACGTTCATGAGGCCAGAGAATGGCTAACAGGGATTCACCTGCTTGAGGAGCTGCTTGCACCCTCACTTATTGGTGTTTTATTAATCTCTTCCAAATTGTTTTCCTCCTTCCTGAAAAGCCTTGCTGGGGAGATAGCGAAATAAGCTCCAGAGAAAGGATCTGATAAGAATTTTTTGTAGACACCAAGACAGGAAATGTATTCTGTTATTCCTGAAATAAAGCCAGGTCACAGTGGCATGGCAGCTCTTTTCCTTCCTGTTTTACAGTGAGTTGTGGAAATATAGGAGGAGGAGAAGAGGAACCTTTCAACAGACAGGCATTTAAAAGAAAAAGATTTGGGATGTTATTGGCAACAGTTGAGATGTAGGTATTATACCATGAAGGTGTGGACTTTTATAGCCAAATTTCATGTGAAATATCTAGCAGGCCTAGCACAGCAAACTCGGTTAGTGTAGAGGCTGTGAAAGTTGGGTTTAATCACATCGCAGTTGCAATGGGAGTGCCAGTGTTAATTCCCTTGACCTTATAAGACCTTATTTCATTTTCCTGTGGCTCAGTGTCTGAGCTATAGAGTGGGAATAACTCAAAATCCTTTCTCCTTCATCTTCATCAAAACGGAGGTTCTCTCTTAACTGTCCGCATGCAGCGCTTTGCACTTGGAGGGTGTAACTTCAGGCAGGATCTTTAAGAACCTGTACCGTAGATAAACTAGGAGTTTCCATGATCAGTAAGACCAACAAAGGCTGTTTCTTCAAGCATTTGTGTCTCAAGGATAAGCTTATATGTGAATTTTTTGGTGCGTCATGAGGGTTGAGCTCTTTCTTCAGTCTGCTCCTTAGCGGAGCACCAGTAGAACATCTTCTCTTAGATGCTTTTGTGACCTGTGAAAGCTTTCTGACAATAGTTTGCAGGCTTGGGCCAGCGACAGGCAAAGATGTGAGAAAAAACAAAGCAACGACTTTATGTAGTTGCGATTTTGATGCCTGGTAGAGTATAATGTAACAAGCAAAACCTGCCACAGTAGGGAGGAAAAGTTTCCTGAGAACCGAGCAAGGCATCCTCGAAGTGTAACAACGCCTCTGCATCTGAGAGGTGGCCATGTGATTTGGAAAGGAGTTCAGCATTGGGAGAAGGAGGAGGTAGTACGGAGCCAGAAGCCTTGAGGACAACGTATTCACCTCCATGGTTCCTCAGCTGTAAAATTAGATGATAGCACCTCTTACTCAGAGGAATGACTGCTCTGTCGTGTCTTACAGCACTTTGTGCAGGCAGAGCTCTGTATAAATGCTAAATTCTGACAAGATTCAGGCATTGCAGAGACAACTGTGAAAATAATTATAAGGGCGGGGAGAGGGGTAAGTTGTCCAAACTTTTTTTATATCTGGCCAAATTTAGTTTGAATTCTTACCCTGAGTGGTTCAGATGTCCCTAGCGGAGCCTGAATTATCCTTGTGTTACCCACAGATGAGGTTCCCTCAGGTCAGGGTCGAAGTATACAGAGCCCAGCATGGACTCTGAGATAAACACAGATCTTTGTTTTCTGAAATCCAGTTATGAATCTGAGTGTCTGTGAAATGTAGCTCTGTCCTGCTTCTTATTTTTTAAAAGAAACTCTAGCTCCATCTAAAGCAGATTTTGGGGGTGGAAAGATGCCAAGTTCTGTACAGTCAATTTCCAGCATCCTTAAATGCACTTGAATTTTCCGGGGCTGTTTTTTATACTGCTGCTGGGTCAGAGCTGAAGTTCCTTATGGAGTTCTTCCTCAGGCAAAAACCCCATTGTAGCTAAGTGTAGAAAAATATGGGCAAAACTGAGCAGTGACGTGAGAATTCAGCCCTGTTTTATTGGCTCCAGTCTTGTGAATGGGGCAGTGAGCTAGGATGCTGGACATGGGGATTGTATGCCTCTTCCTTCTTGTTTTCCTGCCGTCTCCCTACCTTGACCCCCAAGTTTCCAGTTGCTTTCCTTTAGCTACCCATGTGTGTCGTGAGCACGTTTGCCAAGTGTGTAGGACATCACTGGTGGGTTTGGGTTTTTTTTTTGCTTGTATTGCAAAACCTCTCATGCCCTTCAAAAGATGTAAACAGACTCATCCTGAAGAAAACTTGTGACTCCTTTGTTTTTCAAGTGTCCACTGTTGTCTTCTTGTGCGTGTGCTGTTTCTGTTGTTGTTCTGGCAGAAACACTCCTATCTTAGATTGAAGTGACTTGCAGGGCTTTTAAGGGCTTGTGGGGAAGATTTCCTAAACCTTGGTATTTCCTGTTGTGAGAAGTCCAGTCTGTGCTAAACTGAAGAGAGAGAAAGAGAATTGCTGAAGGAAAATATTTAGATGGCTTTGATTCCAATTTTTTAAAAAAGTCCTCATGGAAAACTTCATGCAGAGATATTAAGTTCTTAGGTTGCAGCAAAGAGCCTCAGCAGCTCTAACCCAGAGCGAGAGAAAGAGGTCACCTACGACGAAGAAGAACCTTGTATTTATGACTCAATTGTTCACTCTTCCTTTAGATCAGGACAAATTTTGCAGCCGAATTTATGTGTATTTTGAAAAACAGAAATGCTTTTGTTTGACATGAAGAGCATAGTTTGTCTTGGATTTTTTCCCCCAGTTTTTCAGTTTTCCTACTGGGGAGTCCAATTTCAAAGTATTCTTGGCTTTTCCAGTTTTGGAGAGCTCCTAAGTTTTGGAGTTTTGCCAAATCCCTGTGAAAAATTAAAGAAAGAAAAAAAAAAAAAAGAGACAGACCATTTTTCATTTCTCTCCACATTTTTCACAGGAAATACTTCACGTTTTTGATGAACTCTGCTTTTCTGCTTTGCCAGTTCACAGCCTGAACTGTAGAAATTAAAGGGAAAGGCACCATATAGGTCAGAGCGTATGTGGGGTTGTTATATAGTGCAACGAAGAATATAGCGTATGCTCGCTAGAACTTTAGCTAGACTCATTGTAGATAAACTTAAGGAGATTTTATTGATTTGTTAATTTGGCCGTATCTGAATGTCATCATGAAGGCCATGGTCCTGAACACGTTTAACTTTGTGTATGATGATGTACCGTAGGTTTCTGCCAGCAGTATGTAAGGGTAGAACACATTCAAATGTGTACAGAATTTAATTTTTCACACAAGGCCTGTCTTTCTGCTGGCATAAGCCCATGAAAATCACTGAAGCCACATGGACTTCCATGGGCAGCCTCCTCGGCAGAGGCAGAAGTTCATTATAAGAGCTAATTCCATTCTTGTAGCTTTTCCATTAGACTTTTCCATCCTATTACACTTGGCCAGCTCATCTCAAAAACCTCATCTCTGTGTTGGGCATTCATGCCGGGGTTGTTTCCAAATGTACTCCTAATTTGCCTTCACTTGGGAGCAAATTTGACTTGCTTGCTTTCTTGCTTTTCTCCCCATTCTGTCAAATCTGAACTACAATACAATGATTTATCTGGGCCCTGGAGGGTTCCTCCAGCGTGGGGAGCCACGAGTCAGGGAACACTCCTCAAGCAGCAGCTGTTCTCTCCCTAAGCACAGGCGTAAGTGAAGGGATGGCAAAGAGGAAAGTCCTTGCTGCCATCGCTCATGGCTAGCATATCAAACAGACTTGCAGCCAAAAGACCCCAGCTCTTGAGCTATGCTGAGTGCCATTTTGGTGGCTTCTTCAATGATTTTGCAACTTGGAAGCAATTTACTTCCCTGAATTTAACGATGATGAAAGATAGTCTCCTTAAAAAAAAAAAAAAACAAAAACAAAAAAATAACCACTCAGCCCTCAAAAAAAGAGAAAAACCCCCCCAACAAAAAAAAGGGGGGGGGGGGGGGGGGGCAGTGTGTGTGCGTGCAAAAATCACATTCTTGCTGGAGCTGGACTGTACCTTTCAAGTGGTGGTGGTGTTTATATCATGAAACATTTTCTTTTCATGAGTGTGCATCCTCTGGAAAATAACCAGCGAGAGACCAGAACCCTGACTGTGCGGCTCAAAGGACCACATAGCCAGTGACTGTTTATTCCTTTCCATCTCTAGTCATGCTTCCTAACAGCGCAACCCCTTCCTTCTGTTTTGTAGGAGGAAGATGATGATGGCCTTCCAAAGAAGAAATGGCCAACAGTAGATGCCTCCTATTATGGTGGACGAGGAGTTGGTGGCATCAAACGAATGGAGGTAATTAGATACAAGTTCGTGTATTGGAAGGTCTTATTTGTGAACTGAGCTGTGATATCCCTCTGCAATTTACCCAGAAAGAAACTCAGGAGATAGGCACAAACTTCTTTAAGCTTTTTTTGGTAAATCTGAGCCCAGATTGTTTTTATATAGGAATATTTGAGCACCAGACATAGATTCCTGAAGTTTGGGACCATCTTTTTCCTCTAGTACAGTAAGATCCTGGTCCATGCCTGGGATACAGGGACAGCGTTGCCATACAAATTACAAGGAAATATTTTTGGGTTTTCGGAAAACATTTCCCACTCTCACACTTCGCAGAAATCACAAAGAAGGAGAAGTTCGAAGTTTGGGCTCTAGTCTAGAAACAGGCTTCACAGCCTGTACCTTGCTCTTCACCTTGGATTTGGGCACTGGGAAAATATGGACCAGGATCTAGTTATTACAGCAGGGATGTAACTCTCTACAGCAGCTACTATTGTAATATGCCCTGATGTGAACTTTTCAGGTGCGCTGGGGAGAAAAGGGCTCCACAGAAGAAGGCGCTAAGTTAGAGAAAGCCAAGAATGCCAGAGTCAAGATGCCAGAACAGGAATATGAGTTCCCCGAACCCAGGAACCTCGCGAACAACATGCGCAGGCCTTCCTCTCCTCGGAAGTGGTACTCTCCAATCAAGGTAAGTCCAGTCCAGTGTTGCACTGCATAGAATGTTTCCAGGAGATCTGTATTAAGTGTTTTCACATCCAAGGCTAAGATGCAGAGCTGTCCACAGGCCTGTGAGCTCAAGATGCTGCTAGAGCAGCTGTGCCTGAGGGAGTCCCCCTGAACACGTGCCTAGGGAGGTGCTCTAGAAAGGAGCCACATGCAGCAATGGGAATTTCCCGCCAGGTTGATCAGGTTTTGGGGTTGCACTGCTTTCTTAGACCAGAGTAGGATCCTGATCTCTTCTGGTGGTACAGCTAGCTTCTGTAAAGTGCTTACAGACTCGACTGCACTTCCAAGGGCAGGCCCTTTAGTCCTGTGGTGGGTTGACCCTGGCTGGACACCAGGTGCCCACCAAAGCTGCTCTCTCTTTCCCCTCCTCAGCTGGACAGGGGAGGGAAAATATAATGAAAGGCTTGTGGGTCGAGATAAGGACAAGGAGACGCTCAGCAGTTACCCTCACGGGCAAACCAGACTTGACTTGGGGAAATTAGTTTAATTTATTACCAATCAAATCAGAGCAGGATAATGAGAAATAAAACCAAATCTTAAAAAAAAACCACCTTCCCCCCACCCCTCCCATCTTCCCAGGCTTAACTTTACTCCCAATTTTCTCTCCCTCCTCCCTACCAGTGGTGCAGGGGGACAGAGAATGGGGGTTGCGGTCAGTTCATAACACGTCGTCTCTGCCGCTCCTTCCTCCTGAGGGGAGGACTCCTCACTTGTCTCTGCCGCTCCTTCCTCCTCAGGGGACGACGCCTCACCCTCTTCCCCTGCTCCAGTGTGGGGTCCCTCCCATGGGAGACAGTCCTCCACGAAATTCTCCAATGTGGGTCCTTCACGAACTGCTCCAGTGTGGGTCCCCCACGGGGTCACAACTCCTGCAGCAAACCTGCTCCAGCGTGGGCTCCTCTCTCCATGGGGCCACAGGTTCTGCCAGGGCAGGATGGGGTCCCAGCCTCCTTTGGGCATCCACCTGCTCCAGCGTGGGGTCCTCCCCGGGTGCAGGTGGATCTCTGCTGCACCGTGCGCCTCCCTGGGTGCAGGGGCACAGCTGCCTCACCAGGGTCTTCACCAGGGGCTGCAGGGGAATCGCTGCTCCAGCGCCTGGACCACCTCCTCCCCCTCCTTCTCTGCTGACCTGGGTGTCTGCGGAGTCGTTCCTCTCACATATTCTCACTCCTCTCTCCGGCTGCAGTTGCTGTTGCACAGGTTTTTTTCCCCCCTTCTTAAATATGCTATCCCAGAGGCGCTGCCACCGTCGCTGGTGTGCTCGGCCTTGGCCAGCGGCCGGTCCGTCTTGGAGCTGGCTGGCATTGGCTCTATTGGACATGGGGGAAGCTTCTAGCAACTTCTCACAGAAGCCACCCCTGTAGCCCCCCCGCTACCAAAACCTTGCCACACAAACCCAATACAAGTCCACACTGCATATTCCTTGAGATGTAGGGAATAAATAGCATCTTCTTTCCTTAGAAAGAGAGGAGAAAATAGGAAGAAAATTGCTGCTAAATGTTACCAGGGAGAGTTGTCCTCAGCAGATCAAAGATTGCAGTGCAGCAGATGGATGTCTGCCAGCAGGCACAGGTCGCAGGGCCAGGCTTGCTGCGGGGCAGCGTGCTCGCCTCACAAGGAGGGGATGCCCTGCAGGAAGCGTTTGGCTGAATTAGAGTGCCTCAGATGTGGAAGGTCAAATTCACACTGATACCGGGTCACATGCAATGCAAAGCTGCACAACGGTCGCCCACAGGAACTGGGAAGGCTCTCCTTCTCTGCCATCTGTCCCAAGGGCAGGCAGCTGTTCTTCAGTTTGTCTTCACTAATAGAAATGGTTGGCAGTGTACAAAACAGAAACAAGCAAGCAACTGCATACTTCACTGAAGCAAAACTCTTCATTGCGCATGTGAATGCTTCTCGTGGATTAAGAGAAACAAACCACACAAAACAGATATTAGTCACCTCATCCAGGGTATGGTATGAGGGCACTCCAATGTCAGAAAGCTAATCTTTTGCATTCAGGACAAATTAAACTGTCCTCGGGAAAGGAGGACAGCTTAACTACTGTAGAACTACTCTAATGAAAAGAAAAAATAATAATCCCACACTCCTATTTCTCAGGTTTAACTCCTCTGGGAAATGCTAGTACCCTTCTCATCTCTTTTCAGTCCGGGGCTATTTGTAGCAGCACTATAGTTATCAGTCTCAAAAAAGACTGAAAATGCCCAATTTATATCCAAGTACAAACCTTGCACCACTGGAGCTTGGATCTCATTGTGAAGAGTGGAGATGCTGGTTAGGGTCTTAGAAACCCTCTACAGGCAATTTATCTGCAAGTAGTCTGCAAAGAGGGTATGTGTAACGTATGTAGTAAACCTCTTGGTGTATAGAGCTTGCCTTTAAACTTTACGCTGGGGAATGGGGAAGTGCCTCACTGTTGGAAAATAGAGGTTTTACTCTCCTGTTTTCTTCCTCCCCAGTAGCAGTCAATCTAGTCAGACATATCCTATTAGCCAAGTTATTGCAGTGCAGATATCTTGCACTGCAGTACACCCAGCTTTCCCTGCATTGTATCTTGTTACTGATCAGCTCCAAGCGGTGCCCGTAGGAATTTGGGCAAGTCACGTGCTTTGGCTTTCCTCAGTCATTGATCTTGCAGCTGGTCCAAATCCAGTGATGGGAATGGCAAGGATGCACAAGGGAGTAAGAGTGGTTTCCGGAGGATACGGAAACGTGAGCCTCTCTGAAAATTTGGTCCAATGCCCTCTCTCTTTTCACCCTTAAAGATTATCATCTAATAAACATAGCCAACCAACAAGTAATTTGTAATTGTGTTATAATGACTTCAACATGTGTTCACAAAGGTTATGCATTCCCACAGTGGGACAGGTTAGAGAGTCAGCTGCTTTCAGTTCAGAGTGGGGAACGCAGTAAGCACCATCCAATATAGCTGCTCCTTTGTTCCTAAATGCATTGCATTGTCATTTTGCATCAGTGCAAAGCATTTGTAAAACACATTCATCCCATCTGGGAGATTTTTCACTCCTACTGCGCGCTCATGGAAATGACCTCATCCAGCTGAGAGACGCAGCTCAGTTGCTTTTTGCGTGCTGCAGTCAGAAGGGTTCACAGCACACAAAGCTATACTCTAACCACTGAGGAGCTGACAGAAACACTGATTTTAGCACAAAGAGCCCTGAATACACGCTCAGGCAACTGGAATCCATGTTGATACGAGTACCTGAGATCATTAGTTGAGAGCTGGGTCTTTTCCCATAGAAGGTACTGCTGAGTTTCTCCCCTCTTCCTTCACCAGTTCACACTGTTGGATTACAGCCTCAGGAGACTTTTGGTTAATTTTCAGAGTTTATTCTGCATGGTAGGAAATCTGAACAGAGGAGTCAAGTTTGCAGATCTGTGTCCTAGCTGGAAATTCTCCAAAGTTCAAGAGAGGCTTGGAGAAAAGATTCAATGTATGTAATGGGTTTAATTAAGTTCTGACTAGGAACAGCTTTTGCTTCGTAACAGCAAGAATTCAGTTATAAGGGGGCCTACAAATATTAGGAGTATCTCATGGGTGATAAATATTCTTAATTCCTTTAGAAATATCTCTCTTATCTACCATTTAAATTGTATGCAGTATAAGGACAGTTCCAATCCAAGACCCCATATTCAATAGTCTCATAACTTTGGAGTGTTCCACATCTGGATAGTATTTAGCAGCCCGAGTGTCTGTGGACAAGAATTTACCTAATTATGAATTGCCACCACACCCCTAATTGAACTGCACCCAAAAAGACAGTGTATCCAGACAGGATAACTGTATCCAACACTTCCCCCAAATACAATCATGAGCACTCATCAAAAACAGAGGGGATCATTCCTACGAAGCAGGGGTCCTGCTGTTACTCTCCCTGCACACAGTAAGGAATTAGCAAAATTGGCAAAATTCATCAGCACTCTTGGCAGAAGCTCTTGTCCTGAAGATGTGAGCATATGAAGATGAATTTTCGTTGTGTTATGCAGGGAAGCTATCACAGAGTCATAACCGGCAGAGAGGCGCGAGGAGGGATAGCCTATTAGGTCATTGGGTCTGTACTCTCAGCCAAAGCAGGACTGCTAACTTGAATCTATCCTTCACTGCTTTTTCCAGTCTGGTTTTTAAAATAACATAGAGGCTTCTACCACTTCTCAGGGGGGAATATTTCACAGACTACCAGACCTCACCCGTAGCAAATGTCTCCTGATACTCAGCTTAAATTTCCCCTCATCCCCATGCTCCAAGTGCACTCGGCTCCCTTGGTTAAAGCAGATGTTAAATTTCCACCCGCTCCACTGGACTGGTTGAAACACCTCTTTGGAAGGTAGATAAATATGCATGTAACAAGCTACTTAAAAAAAAAAATCATTGGTAAAGGAGGAGGGCAAGGAATTAAATCTCAGGAACAGCGAACCAAGGTAGCTTGAATCTGACAAAGAGCCAGGAAATTCACATTTTAGGGCCAGTCTTCTTGCTGGCCAACAGGCCTCCTTTTCTCCATGCAGCACGAGTGCCAGCCTTTCCTTAGAGTGTTTTGCCTTTTGTCAGTTTATCTGATGGGGTTTTTCTCCCCTCTCTTTGTTACTCTTTTCAGAGCAGCATCTATAAAGTAGGTAGACAGCTGAGAGTGGATAGACTGCTTTTTGAAATGCTCCAGAGATTTATTTGCTACCAAATGTGGTTACTGACACTTAACAGATTGTGGTTATTATTATTGTTGTTATTCTTATTTGCCACTGTTACTTCTTAGCACGATGCCAACTGGATTATCCCGCTTTTAAAATATCTTTTCAACAGTTTGAAAAGACAGTGCAAATAGTCCAAGGAGAATGACAAGTCTGAAAACTTCTTAAGAAACTTGCCAAATCCTCAGTTCATCTGACAGAGGGAGGGACAGCACAAAACATAGATGCAAGTGAAGGATCATAAAGGACCATGCCTTCAGTTTTAATTTAGTTCAGGACATACTCCCTGCTACAGCCAGCCATGCAGCTCTGTATGCTTTAGTGTGGTTAGCTTTCCTCCTACCTCTAGTTCCACCTGTGCTTTGTATCTGCCTGTCTACCTAGCTACCTCTCCTTTCTTCCTCCTCCTCAGAGCATTTATAGTACTTGTTTGACTTAAAGGACCACTGTCAGTCTCTAAAAAACAATGCAGAAAGGACCACAAGACAAGGCTAAATTCACTGTTCATCCACAAAAACTCGCATGCAGGACCTGCCCCAAGGCTGAGGTTGAAGCAGCAACTGGTGCTCTCAAAAAGAAACCTCAGGTGAATCCTAAGTGGAGGCTACTTAAGCATTTACTAAGCCATGTTTCCCTGGCACATTTTCTAGCCTTTGTCCCTCCTGTCTCTAGTAACAAAGCTGACATGGCACAGCTTCCTTGCTAGAAGAGGCCCGAGGGCAGCTTGGGTGTATGGGCAGCTTACAAAGCTGCCTCTGACTGACACCACCAGATACCACGTCTCAGGAGCACTCTAGGTACAGGTCATTCACTAGACCAGGGTTGATACAGTGCTGAATTAACCATTCATTCAGGAAGAGAATGCATTCATGTCAAAGCAATAGCTGAAACTATGCCCTCCTTCATTTGTCATCTGCCCTGGTTGTTTCTTCTTTCTGGACTTCATATCTAGTAGGGCTCAAAGCTTTATTTGCCTCCAGACCTATTTTTTCTCCAAGCAACCTTGTGCTTCAATTGCAAAGGAGTTCCCAAACACAGAGACACAGCCCATCCACTAGAGAGCACAGAAGTGTTTATGTTTCCAAGTGAATGCATTGCCATTTTCATTTCTTCAACCAACATCATCCTTTCCATGATCCACTCTCCCCCTCTTCCACCCAGATGTCTCGGGCAGACCCTGAGGCTCCGTTCGGACTCCCAAAGATGGAGCTCTTGGCTTTTCCCAAGAAATCTTGGTAGGCTCTTGGAAATTAGGACTGCAGAGTAAAAAGGACTTTTTTGTTCCAGGGAAAGTTGTAATTTTCCCTCTGTTTTCCTAAAGGTACTTACTTCTTAAGTTGTCAGAGGGGACAGGAGATCAAGAGCTTCAACCAGCTCTGATACAGGGGGAAAGATGGATTGGGATAGACAGGGATGGCTTCCCTCGGATGCAGAAGAGTCTGACAGAGGAGTTTCTTGCTTCTTCCTTTGAGAATAACAGATTTTTCTGGCTCTCACCTTAGGAAGTCTTTTCCCCAGTACCCTACGGAAACAAGATCTATGCAGTCATTGTGTGTGCCTGTCTGTCTCCACCCGTGTATCCCTCCAACTCCCAGATAAGGTTTGAACCATTGGCTCGACACACTGGTTGAGGAATATAGGTCTCAAAGAGGATTACAGCCTTAATAGAGTCTTCCTCATCCCTTTTCAAGAAGCCATGTCCCCATGAAAGGAAGAGTATACACTGAGTGCATTGAGTCTTTAATTAGATACCAGAGAACCAGGGTCACAGAAGGACCTTATAAATACCCTGCTGTCAGGGAGGTCTCACCTTCACCGACACTGAGGTTTACTGTCAGCTGTGAGACCCCAGCTCTCAGGAAAGCGGCTTCCTTACTGTTAATGAAGCTACTTGCTCTTTTCCCACCACCACTGCAATATTCAGCTTACACCTCCATTTGCTTAATTTTGTCCCATGGTAGTTATACGAGACAACTCTGCTATCATAAAATTTTGTACTGTTTGTTTCCAGGAAACAGGTAGCAATCATACATGACTCTCTGAGTCCAGTCAGGGGTAGCTAGGTCTTTGGGGTCTGATCCTCTCGACCGCAGGAAATAGTTTTGTACCAAAGGACAACTTCGTACGTTCTCAGAGTAGCTTGTCTCTGTCTCTGCAGATACAATAAAGTTTACTGACTATTGCTGCTGGGTTTCACTCATGGTGGCTGCTCTAATGTCATAGCATTTTCCATACTAACGGCAAGCTTAATAAATACTGTCTGTTGTTAACCCTCTCAAGAAATTTTTACAAATCTCCAGGTATCGTGTGCTTAACAGACCAAGGGTCAAATGAAGTTAATGTGAAGAGAGTTTGATAAATTAATCTTCAGCTTGTAATATGTCTGTAGCCTGCCACTGAGCCAGCCAACGTGCTGCACTCGTGTAGACCCTTCTGCAGATCTCCCAGAAGCCGAGTCCATTTTTAAAGTGAAACCCTGGCCTGTTAGAACAGAGATATAGCAGGGAATCCTTCAGCAGCAGATGTATGTTTTGGAGCACATGATTCGGTGGGTATTTCTACATTGCAGAGCTCTGTGCTGCTCCTTCTGGCCTTGTTCAGCTCATTTGGAAAATAACTGCGGGCTTGGCATTTTGCGTCGCTGCTGAATTTCAATCAGGAATGAACGCTTTGTCTGCATTGCAGAGAAGCATTGCAGGAACGGCAGGGAAGGTCTGACCCCACATCTCAACCAAAATTTCTGTCAACGAGAGATTTCAACAGTTGGGTTTTCAGCAAAACTTGTCTGGGTCTGTGCATGTGCACACGTCTGCATTTGGGTACGGGCTGATGGGTATGAGACCACACAGTGAGGTGACCAGCTTGTCAAAACCAGTGCAATGTGTTGAGGGTGGCATCTGTAGGGCAGCTGATACTGAGCTCATAGGAATGGAGGACTTTGAAAGATGTGTGTTATTGCCTGGAGAAGATGCAAATGTTAACTGGCGTACGGGGTGGGACTGGGGAGCTTGTGTGAGACCCAGTAACCTGACGCTCTTGCTAGCACGTAGCTGACATGGAAGATTAAGTGGGTCGTTACACAGCACCTAGCTGTGACTCAGCTGTCTCGGCTGTGTGGAGAGCCAGTTTTTCAGTCAGTTCTCCCCAGCAGATTGTTTTGAGAGATAAATCAAAGTTATTTCTAATATGTCACAGTGGTGACCTAGAGCTTGAGGCAGGCCACTCGGCTGGCCAGAGGAGGCAGCAGAATAGTTAGGAAATGCATCATATAAATTCACCTGATTGCTTTCTGCATTGATTTAGCATTTTGCTAGCAACGATGTCAGGAGCTGCGTAGGTATTAGACACTCTCTCAGCCCAGGAGGTATCTAAGTCACCTATTACCTTTGGATATTTTCAGAAGAATGCGTAAAAGCTAGACACATGGACACTGTTGACTGTCAGACATACCTGCTTATTGCTCATCTGAAAGCCTCTTCCTTTGCACTTGCAGCAAGTTCGGAGTGAGTTTCTGTGAGAGAAAACATTGCTCTCCAGCGTCTTGTACAAGCGCAGGAAATGATTAAGTAAAAAATGCGTAGGTCTGCGCTGCATTGTCCCTGCACTGCACTTTGCACAGTGCACTTGTTCTTGCACAGAAGGTAACACGGTGTTTCTTTTGATTGCAGGGGAAATTGGATGCTCTCTGGGTCTTGCTGCGGAAAGGTTACGACCGTGTATCTGTGATGCGTCCGCAGCCAGGAGACAAGGTACTGTGCCTTTAAACATTTTTTTACAGCTAGGGAAAAATAAAATCCCTCTGAAGTTTCTGACTGCCTTTACATGTGGGACTGAAGGCAGATACTCGTGACACCTTAGAAACAAAAATTCAGTCTTGTCTGTCAGGTTTGCCACTGCAGTTCATGCAGTTTGACTGATACAGTTTCAAGTATGAAAACTGTCCAGGTGCAGTGACAGAAATACCCGTCGAAGAACCCAGTACAGTCTTGCTCTTAGATAATAAAGCTGCTTTCAATTAATTACATAAGTAATTCTAATATTTTCATTCATTAAAATCTTACATTGTGGAATAAAACTCTGAACATACATAAATGTGCATATATATATTTGCTATATAAATTTAAACTTCATGGGCACTTTTACAAAGCCAAGTTTGCAGAAAGAGGTTTGGACTGTTGTGTGAGAGGGAGGAAGTATTCCCTTTATATTTCTAGTAAAAACTGGGTTCATGAAAATTTCTATACATTAATGTGTGCTTATGGGTGGAAACAGAAGCCATTGAAGAGAACGGACTAGTGTCACTTTACAGGAATGTTACTGTCTGTCACAGCAGGATACTATAGAGCTACCTCTCATCTCCAAGGTGCTAATCTTCTCCTTTTCAGTAGAATTAAATGTCTGGGTGCTTCCTAAATAATTTCAGGACAGTTACCCCAAACTATCTCTGGAGGTACCTAGCTGAGCACTGAAGTGGCCAACACACGCTCACGTGTTGTGTTCAGCTCGAAGCACCCAGCAGACACGTGGGCACATGCAGCTGAGGCGGGAGCGTGAGACCTGCACCTAAGCTTTGCAGATCTAGTGTATGTTCAAGGTACACAACATGGGTGAATTGAAATCCCTGTGGTAGCCATAAGACATCCCCTAACTCCTTGCGATTTAGATGATTACACCCAGTTGCCCAGGGCTGTTCCCAATCCAATTTTTAATATCTCCAAGGGTGGAGATTCAACATCGCTCTGAGCCCCTGTCCATATTCACCTCATGGTGAAAAATGTCGGTTATATTAATGTCTTATGCGGTCAGTTTACACACCTCTGACATAAATCAACAGAGGAGCTTGGAGTTGCTTCAGGAATATATTTGGCCCAAAGCGTAAGTAACTGTGTAGCATTGTAAAGGCTTCAAGAAACTCAACTGCACATGAAACAACAATGTAATTTTTTGGTGGAGAATCATAGTTCTGTAACATTTGGCTCCCTGTAAGCTTTTCCATTGACTACAGGACCAATGAACTTTTGTGAGTAATAAGATTTAATATTTTATTCCTTCGGGGGAAGATTTGCTAAGATATCTTCACTGAGTGTGATACTGATTTCTGGGAGACAAGTTCATAACATACAGATTGCTAATGCCTGGCAGTTTTCCCACAGAAATCAGGGTTTGAAGAATGCCTGTTCTATGAATAACTTTTTTGATTTGACAAGCTAAGATTATTTACATGAAAGATACCACTTGTATTTATGCTAGGGAAAATCCAGAGCAATTTAACTGAAGCCGATACAGTTAACAGCAATTTATATTAGTGCAGCTGACAGCAGGCTGCATCCCTTTCTGGTGATGTATCTCCTAGACATGCAGTTCTGTGTCCTGTCAGCATAAGCAATAGCAGAATTAGCCCATATAGGTGCTATATGATCCAGCCTTGAAGTAAATTAAGCTCTTTATGATTCTGTTGTGCTATAAAGGATCTCTGACTTGGGTGCAAGTATAATTTAGTGTGAAAGAGAAGCTGATTGAAAATGCACCCAGGCTTATTGCTGCTAAAATGCCTGTTTCTCTCCAGCTGACTCCTGGAAGACTTGCAAACGTTTGGGCACTCTCCTGCATAGATATGAAGTGCCTTGGGCTTTCTGTGAGGGTAGGCTGCTCTTAGAACATTTGCTTTCCTTCATGTAGACAAAACTATGAGCCTGAGTGAGCGTTTGTCGTCTTTGAATAGCTATGTGTGACCCTCTCGATGTTTTTAATCACTTTCAGACTCAAGTGAGCAGTTTAAATTTATTCCTTTGCAGTAGTGACATAACTACCAGGTGATGTCACCCCCAACAGTACAGGCAAAACCAATATGAGAACTCACTGTAAAACACTAAAATGACTTTCATTAGTTTACACAGCTGAAATGGCAGAATTACACAGGATTTTCCCCTCCCCTATTCAGCAAAAATGTGGGGGTTTTGTTTCCCTACTTCAGATTTAAAGTAGGGAGAAGAATCTAGCTTTCAAGTACTGGGTTCAGCTTTGCGATTTCTGAGTCATCTCCTATCTTGCTATAGACATTTCCTGTGATTTGGGTGCTAGTTTTAGTCTGTCGGACTTCACTTTCTCCTTTGTAGATGTAGAAAGTGATTTTACCAGAGCTGGGCATTAGGAAGGTTGGCTTTACAACATTTAGAGGCTTCTGTGCAAGGGACTGGGAAGGGATGAGGCAATGTTAACTGAACTACCATAATCTACAGCTGTGCCTTGGGAGACAAATTAGTGAAAAAGAAAAGCAAAAGGTTGCAAAAATAGTTGCAAAATTTGCACCTCACAAAATAAGGAGACTCTAAGCCCTATTTGATCCCTGCCAATCTCCCTCTGTTCTTCTCTGTGTCGCTGTTCTTCTAAGGGAAATTTAAATGTGTGTCCAAACCTTAGGATACAAAGGCTGCATGATTCAGGCTACTTTAAGGCTAGTGGCTTCTCCCAAGTCAGCAAACATCAAATATTATCTCATAAAACACATTGCTGCGTTGGTGTGATCGGAAATCCAGTGGGAGGCGGGTCAATGCTGAATTGGTGGGGACGGCAGCACAGAAGCACGTGCCAGCGTTGACTGCAGCTGTCAGTGCCTTTAATGCAGATAGGCCTGAGGCAGTGTGAACACTTTCCTTTCCTAGCAAGAAAAAATATCAAGGAAAAGGAGCAATTCCACAGAAAATCTTTTTCAAAACAAAACCTGTGTCTGTAGGTCAGTATTGCAAAAGAAAAGGATCAGATGTGTTGCACTGAAATGATGCAAAATTTCTACCTGTGCAAACAACTGTGTGGCCAGAATCCCCGTCCCGGGAAGTCAGGGCTGGGTTTGATGAGCTTGGATCCAACCCCTGCCATTAGCTTGGAGGCTTTTCACCAGTATCACAATGAGAGGGCCCCTGGACTAGTTATAAACACAGCCCTTCCTCTGAAATGGATGTTTGACAATATAAGTTTAATAATCTGTTCATCATTTCCTTCATCCAGCGTGGGACATAGTTCTTGGCATCTCTCCGGCTTGCAACAACACTCACAGCAACAGCATTTCAACCCTTTGCTGTCCAAAGACAGGACCACTTTTGTGATGGATGCATGGCTGTGCACTGGGTCCTTAGCAGGCACATTTATACACCTGGTCACATGCCAGGAACAGCACCAAGCGCATGGTACGTCCGATGGCTGACAGCTAGTGTGAGGAAGGTGTCTTTTGACACAGTGCTCTGAGACATGGCGCGTCGCCTCCTTGACTTGACCTGCAGACTGAGGCCAGCTGGCTGTATCCAACAGGTTTAGATGTTCCTAGTGCAGGAGATGCTGAAGGACAGCACTGTGGAGGATGCTCACAGCCAGGCAGCCCTGCATGTTCACACACAGGCACCTAGATGCTCTCCCAGCCATGTGTTTCTGCTGTAAGGTTTGCTAGCACTAAAGATTAGCCAGCGGGGTAGAGCTGTAAGAGTCATTTTGGCGGTGGTGAGCTCGGCTATAAATTCCTGTGGCCTCTCCATGTGATTGCAAATAGCTCCTTTGGACCAGGCAGCGTGGACCAGGGGCACAGCAAAGGCAGACTTGGTCCTCACCAGGTTGCAAAATCTTCAGCGGCGAGTCTGCGGGCTTTCATAGCTGTCCACAGGCAAACTTGGATTTGATCCTGTTCTACTGGGAAGCGTAGGTGAAGGAGTGCTCTACCCAGCTTGCCAGCAAAGGACGCCCATCAGAGCTGGTATGGACAACTCTAAGCCAGTCGTGTGGTTTTAAAGTGGAGGCACAGATGGTTTGAGACTTCAGCCCTGATGCGCTGGTGTAAACCCAGCCTCACCAGCTGCAGAAGACAGGAAGCTTCAGGCAGCCAGATGCTTTGAGGTATTGCTGCACAAGGCAGGGCGGCATCAGCCTTCCAGCTTTTTCCTGACTGCCTGACTTCATCCCGATGCCATCCTTTCACAGGGTGCTGCGGTGCGTGCTCTCTGCTGTGCCGTAGGGGACCAGGCCACCCA